CTCCGCCACCAGCTCCATCCCTGGCATCGACGTTGCGAATGCCACAGCAGCAGCCACTGGCGAGCGTGGATGCCAAGGCACAGGTGCAGGCAGGAGGAGACCAGCAGCCACTGCAGCAGGAGGTACTTCGGGAACCGCAGCAGCAGCAGCAGCAGCAGCAGCAGCAGCAGCAGCAGCAGCAGCAGCAGCAGCAGCAATGGTCTCAGCAGGAGGAGCAGCGTGAGCAGCTGCAGCAGCAGTCTGTACAACGGCAAGAAACAGCAGGCGCAGATGATGCAATGGACGCTGGGCTTGCCACTGCCAATTGCGCCATCCCATCGCCCTCACCAGCCAAGCCGGCGGCGTCGGCTTTCGCGCCTGCACCGCCGCATCAGGGGAACGCGATGTTTGCAGGCACGGGCATAGGCGCAGGCGCAGCAGGCGTGGCTGCCGTGCGCACGGGCCCCTCTTCCCCAAAATCTGGCCCTTTTGACCAGCTGGAGCGAGACCTGTTGGATGACCCCCTGGTGGACCTGGGGGATTACTGAGGGCGGCGGCAGCAGAGGGGATGGAGTGATCCTTACCCACTGTAATCTCACGCGGTGGTTGCAAGGCTTTAATGGTTAGGCAGGGACAAACCGTCTTTGAATCGCAGGGGCTTCGCCATGCATGATGCTGGCAACGTCCAGTCTGCCTGGCTTGCCGCGTGTGCTACTGTCCTGGCACCAGCATCTTCAGTGCGTTTTACACGGCAGCGTACACCACACATTGACAGCTGCATGAGCCCCAAATGCATACAGACCTTGAGACCCCTTCGTCAAAAATGCTCTCCCCCCATCATATACAGTATATCAGCACTGCACTGAAGCCGCCCCACAGCAGTGTCCCACCGGCATATGCAAAGATTCTGTGGACAATCACATGCTAATACAAAGGAAAACACGTAAAATCGATGATGAATGTAGTTCCTGGAGTGCACAAGTTGCACTGGCATGGGCAATGCCTACAGATGCAGTGCGGCACTCACACTCCAGCGCGCTGACACACTATGCAGGCGGCCTCCCTCAGGGTGGGCCGTGGTGGGGCTGCACCAATCGCCACTCTTGGACCCGTGGGTGACAACACCTGTCACACCCGCTTCGCACAGCCCGTATGCCCACTACGTGATAATCAGCATGCGCCAAAATACGCAGGCAAGATCATCATATGAAAATGGCTCAAGCCTCTGAACAGGCCGTTCACAACCCAACAACTCAATGCACCAGCAGGCAACTGGCCAGTTGCACCATGGTGCCCGCAATGTGCTGAGGGGATACACCAGAACCAAGCTGTAATTTGCAGGCCCCTTCGTTCGAGCTTGAATGAGGTTATGAAAAGCAAGCCAGAACAGTAGGTCACGACTAAATACGGTGATAGAGTCCCAGAACTCAGCGTTCGCAGTAATGCAACAGGTAAGGGGCGCAGCCCGCCTGCCTTCATGGAGTCTTCACTGCCTGCGCGTGCTATTTAATGCCGCGACACCTGCAACCACGTCGGCCCTGCACACCGGGCACAGGCGCGAGCGCAGCAGCCATGCCACGCAGCATTCATGGTGGAACACGTGCGTGCAAGGCAGCGCTAGCACGACACTGGGCGCTTCAAAATCAATAAGGCAGATTGAGCAGCACGCGCCATGCACCGACCTCTCGGCAACCGGCGGCCTGGTCAGTATGCTATCACCAGCAGCAGCGGCAGCAGAAGTGACAGCAGTGCTGGTCGGCGAGTCTGGGCAAGGAGTCGATTCAGGCGTATCTGGCGCGAGCGCCCTACCAACCGCTGCAGCTGCCGTGCAGACCCTATCCTCCTGATCCACTCCACTGCTGGTCCCAGTTTGGCCAGCTGCAGGTGCCGGGCGACTTGCGAGCTCACATTGTGACATTCTCGCTGCAGCAGGGGTGCCCATGGCTGCTGGCGCTTCCATGGTCATTGTGGGTTCCTGCAGCTGCCCCCCCTGTGTTGTCCTGAGGGGCTGAGGGTCTTGCTGGCTGGAAAGGCTGCAACTGGTTGAAATGTAAGCGGCATTAACCAGCGCAGGCTCTGCCGTTTGCTGTGTTGTCACTGCTGTAAATTGCCGCCTGATGTACTCCCCTGCTGTCCCCAGCTTGTTGTAGGGCGTTGGCTGTAGCTGCAGACGCACTCTGGTTGGCACTCGGTTGGGTGCGCTGGTGTTGCTGCCATCGTCGGATCTGACGGGTGCGCTGCAAGGGGTGAGGCAGGAGAACAGTGCGCCCAACACCAGGAGCAGCATCAACGCTGCCATGGTGCCACCCAGGGCGGTCAGTGTGAGTGGTGGAAGGGCAATGAGGTCAGCGCGGTCGTCGTGGGCAGGCCACCAGGACAGGCTCACAACTGCAACATGGTCGAGAGCCAGGATGCCTGCTTGTTTGGCGGGGATGGAAGATGGTGCGGCAATGGTCATGGATAAACCACATCGGGAATGGCATGTGGGGCTGGCCGATTGAAGTTGGCAGTGGGGATTGCCCTGAGCTCCGTGTAGCGGGCTGACTGTTTCAATCTTGCGCGGGTGGTGACAGCACCCCCCTCAGCACATTGCCGGCCAGCCACTGTCACCCACCCGGCTTGGTGGCGTTGGCAACGCTCGTGCCCGATATGGGTTGGACGCGCCCCTCTGTCGTCTCTGGGCGCGCCACAGACTCCAGCAGGGACAGAGCATGCCCATTGAACACTGGCGGCGGCGGCGGCGGCGGCGGCGGTTGCTGCTGCTGCTGCTGCTGCTGCTGCTGCTGCTGCTGCTGCTGCTGCTGCTGCTGCTGCTCAGCAGGCAGGGATCGCGTCAGGTGCCCCAGCTGAAGGATGATGTCACCCTCATCCACGACGTTAGTCCACGCATCCCCACGGATACCCGGCCCAGTCATGCCTGGCATCAGGAGCACAGTATGACCGTGGGGTAGCCTCAGCTGGATCACGTCAGAGGGTGCGAGACCGGACACGTCCACTGTAACCTCCACGGGCCCCGCCAGCGAGGGAGACAGGCGCCAGCCGCACACGCCTCCTGTTGGATTTCGTGGATTCAGAAAGCAAGACTATTGGACAGCAGAACAGGCAGTAAAGGGCAGTGTAGACTGCATGAGCATGTGCATGTGTCAGGCACAACAGGACACACAATTCCACATTTGTCCAGCACGCATTACCACACACAATTGTCCTGGGCGCACATCTCATATGCAAGAGCATCAAGCATGCCGCTGTCTGAGCGGCACGGTCAACGCAGTTGTTGACTTGGTAGATGAGTGCGATTCCGGTTCAGGGGCGCACAGTCCCGCGTTCATATCCGAGGCCAAAAAGCACACTTTTGTGTGGCAACCAACAGCCGCGGCCCGCTCATGGCACTGCGCGACGGCGTACTCCGTCACACAATGCTTGGTTTGCTTGAGCCCCTTCTTTGAGTTGCTGGTGCACGCAGTGCAGGGAGCACGCGCCAGTGCGCCCAGTCAACCAGGTCCAACACTTTAGCCTGCCGCCCACCTTCCGTGCTTCTGAGGGCGATGTGGCCGCTTACGCCGGTCAGCACTGCAGGCTCCCTCCTGCAGAGGGTCAGCGCCGGGCCAGCGCCCTGCACAACCTGGGATGGCCAGCGCCTGGCCAGCGCCTCCTGGGGTTCCTGCTTCAGGCCCATCGCTGCAAACAGCGACCGGCGCGACGCTGCAGCCGCGCCTGGAGGCAGGCGCAGTGGGGGCACAGGGCCGGGGCCAGGTCCGAAGCGACGACCTGCGAGCGAGCCAAAAGTGCCGCACGCAAGGAGGCAAGGGTAAGAGTTGCTGGAGGTATTGCACAGCGCGGGCTGTGCGGGCGAGCGTCGCTTGGAGACGATGGTAGCTGGGGGGGGGGCCACGGTGGTACAGTAACTTGAATGGGGCGAAACGCTCAGGGGACTGTCGATGATCTCGCACACTTCATCGTGAGTCACATACTTGACAGCGGCGCCCATATAAGCAGCAGCTTATTACCCTGTACCTGTGCGCGGATGCTCGTCTGGCGCCAGCACCGATGTCCTCACGCCGGCAAGCCCTGCCGGCGCCGACCGCCGAGGCTCGTCCGCAAACGTGGCACGCACGGGTTGCCCGCCTGGCGCGACGAGCGCCATGGTCATCGTCACCACCACGACGCGCCAGTACTTGGGACGTGCCATACAATGACTTTTGCGTCAAGGCACTTCGCTGATACTTCGCCCACTTCGCTTTGCCGACAGATTTCGAGACTGAGAATCGAATGTGTTCGTAAAGTACAGTGGTACGTGTCTGTTGAGATGGTAAGAAGCAGCAGATATATGGTTCTTGAATGATCACGATAGCATTCTGAGATTCGTCCAGGGCATGCGCCAATCTGCGTGGCACACTCACTCCTCCGGTAGCAACGCTCCCCTTGTACACGGCCCTTTGATACCACTAGAACTTGATCATCAAAGACGCATGTTTTTTGATGGGTACATGGCAGTAATCTTGAAAGCGTCTCGGTGATCTGAGTGCACCCCTGCAAACTTCGCGTAAAATTCGCTTTGTCTCGCCCTCATCAGGTTTTGTCGGCAGGAAGACGAGGCGTTGAATATAGGCACCTTGATCGCGTCCAGATTATCGTACTGCAGTGCGCCTCAACTGGCGCCGCTTGCACCGGTTGCACTGCGCCGCTTGCGCGCGGTCGCACCCAGTGTCCCCAACGCCCTCCTATCGTCGTCTCTGGGGCGCCCGCCGCGGCGTCTCCGATGCGGCCATAGGTGGCGCGGATAAGTGGCCCGAGCCACAGGCCTTGCACGGCTGGTGCGTCAGCCGCGCAGTGCATAGCTGTGGCAGCATCCGGGGCTTGAGGCGGCGGTGGCGGCAATGTCTCGCTCACAGCTGAGGGAGCGTGACCACCCGCGCGGCGGCGGTCGCGGTGTTGAGGACGATGACGAGGAGTACTTGACTGATGACGAGGAGGACGAGGGGGACGCCGATGACGACGGACAGGAGGGCCGCAGGGCCCTCGCCTGCAGCACTGCGGCGGGGCCGGCCACCTGGCAGGAGGTGCGTGCATGCGGTCGCAACGGTTGCGCTTGTCAACAGGTTGGCGCTGGCGGTGGGAACACAAATGCGGTACAAGCAGCGCCCTGCGCTTTGGTGCTGTGTTTGTTGAACCTTGTCTCTGGGGGCACCGTCGCTGATTGACTAGGGCAAAATGACCCCCCACTCCACACGGCTGGGCTGTCATCGGTTGGTGGCGCCGGCATGACACGCCTGCGTGCTGTAATTCCAATCGCGCCACGCTGCGCAACGCTCCTCTGCGCGGTCCAGCCATTCCCCGTCACTCCCCCTCCACTCCCTGGGAACTCCTGCTTCCCTGTGGCCCCCCGCCCCTAGGTGGACCGCGGCGAGCTGTCCGCGAGTGCTCTGGCGCTGATCAGCAGCATCGCGCAGACGGCGCCAACGGACGACCGCTCTCGCGACGCGGTGTGGCACCCCACCACCACTGTAACCGTGACTCAGGAGCTGGTGGACCCCTTGGGCCTCGGCCGCATAGACCCCGCGGCCATGAGACTGGTGCGCTCATGCAATATTTGGAGGACGTGGATGCTGCGAGGCGCTGCGCAGGCTGTGGTTGTACACGTCTTGCAGGGCTCTGTGTGAGCCGGCGGTGGGTCGCTTGCAGTGTGGATGCAAGGCGCTGCAGTTTCCAGTGCGGGCCGTTAAGCTGGCACTGCCTACATTAAGACTGCTGTTTGCAGAGGAGGGCGTGCCGGCATTTGTGGGGAGTCAGCGCGCATCCTCTCATGGCATGTATCTCTAGCAGCAATCTCTGCATGCCTTTTTCCCGCAGGAGCGCCGCTCGACGCGCGACGCCGCCCCTCAGGCCCGCAGCAATGCCACTGGTGTCAATGTCGATGCAGGGCCTGGCCAGGTGCGACGGTGTGCGTGCTGGGCTGATGGCGCACTCCAGCTGCCTGGCACTGCATGGCCCTCATACACACACCCGCTGGCCCCTTGATCTTAGCCGTCCCCAATCACCTGCCTGCACCGCATGTCCTGACCCGCAGGCAAAGGGGGCAGTGGGGCGCTTCTTCTCGGAGCTCACAGCTCGTGGCGGCGGCAGCGGGGGCGGCAAGGACGGCGGCCGCAGCCACGCGCGCGGGAGCGCTGGCGGCCCCAGCGGCAGTGGTCGACCGGTGGACAGCAGCCCCTCAACGAGGAGGCGCACCTCTGTTGCGAGCAGAGCGTCCAACCTTCCCACGAACATGGTGCGGCGGTCTGCGCCTGGCCGTGGTTGATGGGGCTGTGGTTCTGCCCGCACTTCGCCATTTCTTGACTGTCAGCACGTTGTCCTCCGGTTGTCCTCACAACCCCTGCCCGCTGTGGCCCGCGACTCTCGCCCTCCCGCCTCGTGCCACACCTTTGCGTGCACTCCCCCACCCAGCTCCTGCCCACCATGGAAGGCTTTGACCCTGAGGCCTACCTGGCCGTCTTCCACGAGGCCACCAGCCCTGCGGACTTGGCAGCGGGGCTGACCACCCTGGAGCGCGAGCTGGGGGAGCGCCAGGGCCAGCTCAAGACGCTGGTCAAGCAGAACTTTGACCGCTTCATCAGCTGCAAGACCACAATCGACGACATATACGTCAAGCTGCAGCGGATTGAGTCGGCCGGCACGGGCATCAGCACGCAGGTCCTGTGCTCTGCCGTAGAGGAGGTGGGAGGAGGGCTGTGGCGGGGAGGGCGATCGTGCTGTTGGGCTTCTGTGCATGTTCAATCAGGACAGCAACGCAACTGCAGCATCTGCGGCGACGGTCGGCTGGTGCACTGTTCTTATCTGCACGTGGTGTCCTTGCCAACCACCACCCTCTCCTGCCTGTGGGCCTCACTTGTCAGGTCCAGGCCTCTGCCAGGGTGGCGTTTGGCCCCCTGCTGGAGCGCCACAGCAAGGCAGAGCGCATCAAGTCGGTCCAGGTGCGCGCAGGACACCACAGCTGTCGCCAGGCCAAGTTGATACAGTCAGTCCAGCTTTTTGCAGCCGCCAGTCCAGCTTGGTACAGCCAGTCAACCTCGATCAGTTCCAAATCAGCCACTGCTTGGCCCCGTGGCATCACGTGCCCCCCTCCCTGCAGGCCCTCCTGCGTCGCTTCCAGCCTCTCTTCAGCATGCCCTCGCGCATCAGGTCCCTTGCTTCAGCCCATGACTATGAGCAGGTGCGAGTGACTTTGCGTTTATGCGGGCATGTGTGCGTGAGCGTTCATCGTTCAGGCGCATGTAAATGTGTGCATGGGTGTGTGCGTGTATGGGGGTTGAGCGCGCTGTATGCGCACACGTCCCTTTGCCTCCTCAACAATGGCTGGCGGCACAGCGTGTTGTGACGTTTCGTTGAAACAATTGCAAGAAGGCCTTCCTGGGCCTCTCAGCTTTGAGCCAAGGCACCTAGACACCGCACCGCAGTCTTCGGGCCATCAGACCACCATCTTCGCGCTGCTGTCCCGTGCTTTGACTGCCTCCTCACGCCCTGTGGACCTACTGCCCTGAACGCCCTGCCCAGGTGTGTGCGGAGTACAAGAAGGCCAACGCCCTCATCCGCCCCGGCAGCAACAACACCGCCAAGGTCTGGGCGCGACTGCACACTGAGATTGAGAGGGTGAGCACCCGGGGGGGGGGGGGCGCTGGAGGTGCAGGAGCGTGATTTGAATTGCAGTAGCAGCATTCCCATCAAGGCAGGTCTTGCCTTAGCAGCGCACCCAACCAGCCCAGCTCGCCTCCGTTCTCAGCCCGCCCCTGACGTCCAAGCCCGGACCGCCATCGCTGTGTTGCCGCCCCTGCACAGCGTGTGGGTGAGGTTTGGCTGCAGCTGGAGGCGGAGGTGGCTCACCCCGAGCTGCCGGCAGCCAGCGCGCCGGAGCTGCTGCTGCACATGCTGGCGCTGCAGGCAGAGGGCCTGCCCCTTGCACAGGTGGGCGCGGGATATGGCAGGGGGCGCAGAGAGATGGAGGGAGAGGGGGAGGGGGTGGGGCAGGGTGCCCGCGCGCGTGTGGGTGTGTGTCTATATGCGCGCGCGAGATGTGCATTGATGGCTCAGCCGTGATTGGCACGGCTGTCAGCGGCCTCGTTCGCAGACGCCCTCTGCGGTGTCATGCCACCTTCAGCGCTCAACCCTCCCCGCCCTCCGGGCCCCCAGGGCAAGGATCCGGTGGGGCTGCTGCTGGAGGCGCGCGAGCGGCGCGCGCGCAGCGAAATGGCGTCCGCCCAAGACCACCAGGCACGCGCCATGGCCCGGCTCAGGGAGCGGTACTGCGCTGTGGTGGGGGCCGAGAGCGCCAAGGTGCGGGTCTCAGGGGACCGGGGCGACGCCACACAGGCACGGCAGTCAGTTTGGTTGCCGCTCAGTGTCAGGTGCCTGTTGCAGGGACATGACCCAACAATGCCCCTTAAGGTGGAGCACAAGGATGTTTGCTTGTTATGCCTTCCCCCCCTCGCCGTTGCCACGCCCCTGCTACCCTTATATCCCTCTGAATGCTCAATTGTAAACCCTACACCCCAAACCCAACCTTAATCCAAGGTGTTGGAGCAGCAGCTGTTGGCCTGGGACGAAAACTCTCATGGCGACCGGGAATTGGGGGCCAACAGCGCTGGTTCTGAGGCCGATGCGTTGCGGCTTGAAGATCAGCCGGGTGTCACACCCCTGCTGGTGGCCCCAGCATTGTTTGTGGCAGGGGCCTCGTCGTCTGCACCGGGTGTGGCAACCCCAGCGCCCCTGCGTGTTGTGGGCGGCGAGGGCGGGCGGCCAGCCGCGGGGCTGGGCGGGCCCGCATCGCGCCTCGCGCCGCTGTCTGGGCTGCAGCCACAACCCCTGCAGTCGCGGCTGGTGCAGAACACCTCTGAGACGCCTGGCGAGCAGCTCATGCTCAAGTGAGGGGGCTGCTGGGGTGCGGGCTGATAATAGAAAGTGTGACAGGCTCTTGTGGTCACAATCACGCCGCGACCCTGTTGCCCAGGGCCCTGGGGCAAGCGATGTTATGCCGACATAAACCCTTTGCACTGCTGCTGCGTGTGGACCCGCCGCCCCCTCCCCTCCCGCCCCCCTGCCCCTGCAGCCACGTGGCGGAGCTGTCATCAGTCCTGCTGTCGTGCCTGCCAGGGTTCTGGGCCACTGCCTCTTCCGGCCGCCTTGCAGACGTGCCTGACCTGCCCCCTGCTGTCAGGGCGCGCCTCAGGCAGTCCCTCAAGACAGTGGCCGCCACCGCGCAGAAGCTGGTGCGCGACACCAGAGGGTGAAGACAGCGCCCTTGGGGGAGGGAGGAAGTGGAGAATGGTTCGATGCTGCAGGGTGGGCTTGTCGAGGAGTGCTTTCACCCTCCAAGCTGGTTGCTAACCGCGAGCTTCGCCCAGGTCGCTTGCTGCCCTGGGTCACGGGCGACTGGCGGGTTGCGCCTCAACGGCGTGGGGAGCCCCTCCCACGTTTTGCTCCCACCTGTTTCTGCAACGTCTCCCTTGCCACACCCCAAGGTCGAGTCGTACTGCAGGGACGTGCAGAAGGTGGCGGGGGCACTGGCGGCGGTGGGCCCGCTGCGCAGCGCGACAGCGGCTCTCGTCCAGGTGGGCTGGACATGCGGCCCGGGCCTCGAGGGATAGACGGCGGTAGTGTTCTCCCCAAGGCTTCAAGGGGTTACCAGAGCTGTGCCATATCTCGCATGCGGCCTTTGGACCCCACCTTGCGCCGCCTCCTCACAACCCGCCATCTCCCATCTCACCATTTTCATTGGTACTCGCCACCCCACAGTTTTCCACCAACCCCTTTCCCTCTCAACCCTGTGCCCCGTTAACAGCGCCTGGCGCGTGTGGTTGAGTCACTGCGGGAGCTGAGGGCGCCGCCGAGTGCGGTGGCCTCTGTGCTGGGCGTGCTGCGCTACGGCCTGGAGGCAGCTGTGCGGCAGCTGGCCAGCCACCTGGAGCAGCTGCCTGCAACCCTGGCCTCGCGTGAGTCATGGGTCGTCAGCCTCATTCACTCTCAGGGCGAGACTCCTGTCACACACCTGCCAGAGTATTTGCAGGCAAGTCGTCGGAGCGAGTGTATGCGTTGAATCTCACAGCATTCAAGCGTATGCCCCTTTTCTTCGCATCCGGCTGCGTGCATTGCGGCTGCGTGCGTCATGTGTGCCATGTGTGTGACATTCACGAGTTGTGTGATTGCTTGAAGGGGCGAGAGCTGTGGTCTGATCACGGTCGTGGCGCACGGGCTTGTCTTTGCACCAAAGAACCGTAACCACTCCCCCGCATCACCGCCCCCACCCTCCCAGGAGGAGGTCACTGTGGCAGTGCAGTACTTCAAAGCCGTCACGTCGGCCTGCACCCCAGCGCTCGACGGGGAGCTGCCTGCTGACATCACCACGCGGCCCCTGCACGTGGCATTCTTTGCCTGCCTGGGCCAGTGTACCGCCTGCCTTGCGGCTCTGGCGGAGCGCTACAACCCCCATGCTGGTGACATGCCGAGCTCAGCCCGCGGCGGCGACGATGAGAGCGGCGGCAGCAGCACCGGTGGCCCCGACCCAGGAGGGGGCGGGGGGTCGCCGCGCGAGTACTGGCGGCGGGGGCCGCAGGCTCAGGCGCGGGGCGTGCTGCTGTACGACAGCGACGACGACGCAGGGGAGGGCGGCGGTGCGGGTGGCTCGGGCAGTGGCGGCCCTGCCGTGCGTGGCGGCTTGCAGGGCGGGCGCGGCGGCGTGGGTGTCGGGGGCGTGGCAGGTGTGAGCGATGATGTGCGGCTGCTGCTGACGGCTTCCAACCTGAGCTACATCCGCACCAAGCTGATGGGGTCCCTCACACAGCGCTTCCTGCTTGTGCTGACAGGTGGTGTGGCTTGATGGTGGGGGCAAGGGGGGGGGGCGGAGCAGGGCTGTGGGTTGCTGTTTGTATTGGGTGCCTGGCCCTGGCATGTGCGCGGCGATGGCGTGCACTCCAGTGGCTAGAGCGTGTTGGTTGCCAACCGTTTTGGTGCTCGGCATTTGCTGGTTCGCGCCTTGATGGTCACGGCCCTCCTCACATGCCCAGGCGAGGTTGCCTCTGAGGTGGAGCGCGTGAGCCGCACGATCAAGGGCCTCGCCAAGCGCATGGATGCAGCACTACAGGTGAGGGGGCAGTTCCGTGGGCTGGGCGCCTGTGGCGTGGGATTAGCCGGCAAACCCTGAGTTGTTTCACAGTGATCAGACCCGGCACTATGTCACTGCTCCGTCCCAACCCTTGACCCTCCTACCCCACTCCCATGCAAAGGCCATGTTTGATTTGTACCGTGACCGCAAGCGCCGGCAGCTGGAGCGGCTGATGAGTGCGTACGTGCGTGCAGACGGCGGCCCTGTGGGCACCCCCCCTGAGCTGCGTGACATCACCCCGGGTGTGGCGGGCCTGCTGCAGGCTCTGGCCCAGGTCCAGGCTGAGGCCTACACGTACGCCAGGTGCGGTGGGGGAAAGGATTGGGGGGTGCTCAAGCCTGCACTGGGGCCGTGCGCTGCACCTTTGCACCACTTGCGCAGCACACCTGTCTGGTGGCGGCACAATCCCCCTGCCCCCCAGGCTCCACATGTCGTACCTGCTGCCCCCCTTGCTGGAGGCTGTGGCGTCGGGCCTGAGCGCGCGGTATGCCGCCCTGGCCCCCGAGGGTCTGGCCCCGGAGGCGCTGGCGCAGTACTTCCTGGACCTGTCCTGGCTGGACGGCACACTCAGCGCTGCAGGTGGGTTGGGCTGGGTGGAGGTCACGCTGAAGGTGGGCTGTTGGTGAAAGGAGGGGCCGGATGCCGAAAGGTGCGCTGAAGTCTTGTCAGCCATCACGCGTCGTCATTTGCTGATCAAAACATGCTGCCCGATGTCTAGGCTTGAAGACAGCTGCTCCTGATTCTTTCCTGCAGGCCCACCCTCGGTGCGCGTGGACATTGACGCCGGCTACATGCTGCTGGCGCAGCGCATTGCAGGCTTCAGTGCTGGCGCGGCTGTCACTCCGCTGGGCCGCAGCCTGGCTGCTGTGAGGGACCCAGCAGAGCTCAGCAAGAGGTGTGCGGGGGCAGGGCAGAGGGGCGTAGTCGGTGCCAGTGAGGGGACACAACTTGTGAGCACCCGTCGCGAGCCTGTGGCTGCACGCGTGCTTGTGTCAGTCAGCTGCGCCGACATGTCGCATGTCCCGCCTTTCTCCCTACCGCCATGTTCCCCCTGCCTCCCCCCCCAGGCTGCAGGTGACGTGTCGCAAGCTGCTACCAGACATCTTGGGGCGCTCCACCTTCACAACCAGCAGCTTCCTGCCTGTACAGTAACACTCCTGTGCGCTCCTTCGCAGCCATGAGTGGCGGGTAACCCTGGGCAGGAAGACTGCCGGGCCTTCCAATGTGCCTGAATATAGGAGACCAATGTTACAGCACATGTGCAGCACAGGACGCTCTCAGAAGCAGGCAGCCAAAGGATTCACCTGTTGGGCCTGCTGAGAACACACCTAGTAGGAGGATATGGGTCTCGGAGCCTGGAAATCTGCATTCTGTACACCCAGCGTTGCCTCACAGCGGGTTCCAACCCACACACACATACACAGGCACACACCCACGCCCACACACACAGACACACATACGCACAGCAACCTCTCCCATACAAAAAGCCATGTCATTAATGGGCTGGGAGGCGTTGCAACAACTGCACCACAAAGTTGTGCTGAGTCAATAGCGAGAGGCAGCGCGCTTGTCCAAAAGCGCAACTGTCGCATGGCCCTGCTCGGCAGGTCCAAAGGTGAATTTGCAGCACCAGCACCGACACGTGCTCACCGTTGCAAAAGCTGCTGTTGTGCCATCAATTATTCAAACTGGCGCTCCCCCGACCCCAGCAGCAGGTAGCCGGCCGTGCCAAACACATACATCCCAGCCACCAGGGTCCACACCGCCGACCACGAGTTGCCTGCGTCCAGCAGCACGCCTGTGGCGTAGACCGAGGCGCTGCCCACCAGGCTGCTGAGCGCGTTCGTGACGCCAAAGAGCACGGGGGCGTACCGGTCCCCGGCAATGTCCTGGTGGTTGGAGGCAAAACCAGCCGACTGGAAACCGCCCAGCGCCACGGACCCGATCATCAGGGGGATGGCCGTTTCCAGGCCCAGGCCGTCCTGCGCGTCTGCCAGCACCAGCAGGCAGGCTGCAGGCAGCAGCATGCCGGCGCTTTGCATCAGCTTGCGGGTCTGAGTAGTCGTGAGGGTGCCGTTGTTGACCAGGGTGTCTGCAATCCACCCGCTGCTGGCAGACACGACTGCACTAGCCACCCTGGTGGAGCAGGTGGCCAGCGGGTGGGGAGGGCAGTACAAGTAAGCCTAGGCTGAACAGTGCGCTTCAGGCGAGGGCAGTCTGAACTAGGGAGCCAGGCTGCCGCCCTCTAAATCCCCACACGCATGCGAAGCTGGAGTGGGGTTTGCAAACCCCCTGCTCAGCCCCATCTAGCCCTCTCTGCCGGGCTCACCATGGGAAGATGCTCAGAGTGGCCGAACTGGAAACGTCAAGATGGAACACATCGCTGTAGAAGCTGGGCAGCCAGCTGAGAATGATGTAGTGCCCCGACCCAAACATCGAGTGTGCACACATCAGGCCTATAAATGCCCGATTGGTCAGGAAGCGACGCCACGGCAGTTTGAACAGGCTGGGCATTGGGTCTGACGGGGCCAGCCACGCGCTGCTGTTGCCGCTGCCGCTGCCGCTGCTGCTGCCGCCGCCACTGCTGCCAGTGCTGCTGCCGCCGCTGCTGCTGCCGCCGCTGCTGCTGCCGCCGCTGCTGCTGCCGCCGCTGCTGCTCCTGGCAGCACCACCGGTACTGCCGGTCTCCGGTGATGCTGCTTGGGTCGAGGCGTCTGCCGCCGCCTGCTGCTCTTGCTCCCGCTGCTTGAAGAGCGGAGGAACCTCGCCCACCATTGTCTGCCAGAACACCATCCAGACCATCCCCAAGGAGCCATACACCTGAAGGTTAGGGTTGAGCAGCACAAGTCCAACACATCAGCGGTCGCACACCAGCAGCACACGCGGCATCCTCCCGGTGGCAGGAGGCACACTGATTGTGATGCCCGTGCAGTCTCACATGCATGGCGGCCGTGCGTCAGGGCCGTACACACCACACCCACCAGGAACACGGCGGGCCAGCCCAGCCGTTCGATGATCAGCGGCGCCGTCAGGAGGGCCAGGATGGTGCCAATCTGACCGCCACCGTAGACCATTGTCAGCGCGCGGCTGCGGCTGCCGGGGGGCACCCACCCCTTCACAACGCTCTGGACGCAGGGGTAGGCCGTGCCTTCCCCACACCCCATTAGGAAGCGCGTTCCCAGCAACAGCGGCATAGCGCGCGTCGCCGCAGCGGCAGGCGTGAGCATTGTGAAGAAACTCCAGACCACCACGCCAGTGCCCAGGGTGCGCTTGGCGCCAACAGTGGCGGACAGGTAGCCGCCGACCAGGTTGGTGATGGTGTAGCCTTTGCGGTGAGAGTGTAAGCAGCACGGAATGGCATGTGTGTGGGTGAGTCAAGGTCTGAAGCAACACTACTAATCGGGCTCATCGTTTGATCCAGCATGCTCCTGACCCCTGCCTGACCATCAAACCTGCCCCCAACCCCCTGCATTTGCACCCACCCATAAAGAAAAGACCGTTGATCTCGCCCTTTATGGTGTCAGACCAGTCGAACTGCTGCGCCATGGGCAGGATTGCAACTGACATTGCCGCGCGGTCGATGCTGCATATCATGGCCGCAGTTGCTGCTAGAGCCACCACGCCTCCCCACGGGACGGCAGACTCCGCCTGTACCGCCCCCGCTGGCACCTCCTCAGCCGCTGCAGCCGCGACCGCGCCGGCACCCTCCCCTGCGGCATGAGGGATGCGGCGCGGCTTCCCGAGCGTCGCCGTGGGTGGCGCCAGCGGCGGCTTGAACTGAGTAGCAGCGCTCGCCAGATTTCCACCTGGCGTGTTGCTGCCCCCAGCATCTCCACCTCTGCCGTCTACTGAACCGGGTCCGCTGCTGCCATCCCCCAGTGCTGTCGCTGCCTTGCCGCCGCGCCGGCAAGCGCTGCTGCGCAACGCGATGCTGCATGGCGGCGATGCAGCGAACCACCCCCGCGGCTGGGCCAAGGAGTGAGCCGCATGGGCCGCTGCCCGCATGACAACAGGCGCCAGGCCTTGGTGATGGTAGGAGGCCTTTGACAATGGTGCCTGGGCTCGCGTTGACGTTGTGATTGCGCTCAAGCCCACTCGATTCTGTGATGGGCTTGCAGAAGGATCGGGTCTTTCTCGGCCTCAAGGAGATTGTATGATTGTTCCCCGGCACAAGCAGACGTGCAGGGGCGAGGATCTTGAGCATAAACTCGGATTTCACTCCGCGAGTGAGCAAATGGAGCAAGGCTGCGTTTGCGACATGTTCGGACTCACAAAAAAATCAGATGCATCAGTTGCCGTGCATTCGCCGTGCAGGTCAGCTGACAGCGTCCGGTGGCATCGCCCAAGTGACAGCCGTCACTACCAGTGCAGCGCGCACAGCACGCGTGATCACATGATCACTAGTCTGGCTTTTGCATCCGAACACAACTTGCATCGATCGATGCCAGTATGGTGCTTTGGTGGTATCATGTGTCGTCAGGGGATGCCTGTCAGGTCACGGAATTGCAGGGCGAACCTGGTTGATGCATGCTGGGCAATGGCTCGCACCCATTGGGGCCACCTGTACTTACTCACAGTCATGACACATGCATAACACTCGTTGTGCATGCAGTTACGAAAACTTTCTTACCTGGTGAGCCTGAGATATGCTATCCCCGCACACTCTGAGCACCCCAGCGAGTGTGGCAAGCCGCATCATCAACAAACATGAGGGGCACTCCTGCCCATGGCTGCTCCACAGAGAATCTTTGAAATCATCCGTGTGGTTTGCCACAAGTTGTCCTGGGAAGGGTTGCAGTGCGCGCCCCTGTGAAAACCCATACCACAAGGGTGGGCATGCATGAAGCTTGTGCTGGTGCGCCTAGAGTAGGTTCTCTTGGAGGCGGTCAGCCGTTGGGGAGTCTGCCTGCATCCCTTGACATAAGTGACTTGCACGAGATTGGCGAGTAATGCGATTCAAGTACTCATCTGTGGTGGTTGTTAAACAAGCGACATGCATTGTCGCGTCATCCTACAGCCCAAAGGTGTAGGTTGAACATAAAGCCTTCTGCGAAATTGCAATACTCCAGGCACAGCGTGCTGGTCCTGCAATAAACGGGAGGATAGAGGGCTGGTCCAGATCAGAGACGGGCAGTACAACCCAGCTTGCCCCAGGCATGCGTAACAGGTGAGAAATTCTCCCTGTGGTGAATGCTCCTGACTTGCCAACATGCCGACAACCGCAGGTGCTGGAGACCTTTGTAAGGGAATCTGCTGTAAGGTCACCATTGGTGCCTCACAGATGGATGGGCCCTCTCACCAGAGAACCCTGTTTTTGCAAGGGACCTCGTGTGCAAGTACCGCACGCCAAGTGCTGTAGTAAAGGAAGGCGATTGTAACCGACAAGGCGTTCTGCTGCTTACGCCCTGTAACAATAATTGAGTTGATACCCTTGGTGCACTCGTGGCAATCACAGGGTCTAGTCATGGCTGATGAGCTCCGTGTGCACTGACGGCTGCTGGCAAACTACAGGATCAAAGGGCACCCACACACCAGCTAAAATCTCGGCGCCACTGACACTGTGTACACCCCCAAAGCTCGCATCAGACCTTGCTATTATTCGTTTTACAGTCTCAGTTACTATCCAAAGCCTCACCCGACAGATCACGCATCCCGTCAAGAAGACACGGAGCAATGGCGTCCTTTGGCAGCACAATGCAGCGGCGCCTGGGGCAGAGGGCATCGGTTTCCGGCCTTAGGGCACCAACCCCGGTCTTCGGGGGCAGAACTCAGCAACGGGTGGCGTGCAAGGCCCATCAGCGTCAGGAGGGCGAGGTGGGTCGGTGGGGTGGGGATGCGATCCATTTTGGGCTCATTTCGCCTTCTGCACGATCGCATGGCCTTCAAACTCGATCCATGTGCGATTCGGCAGGGCCCCGACTTTTTGCAGCGGTGCGCGGTCGGCCTGCTGGCCGCAGCGACCGCCGTGATGCCCCTCATGGCCTTTGAGGTGCGCAGCATGGCTCGCGGCCGGGTCGGCAGGTCTGAGGGTTTGAAGGGCATTTGTCAACCAGCATGAAGCCCTCAATGGGCTTGACCCGGTGTCATGCCGCGTACGCACACGACTGGCGCGCCTGTTGACGCTGTGCGGGTTCGCGGGGATGCCTAAGGACCGTTGCTGTTGCGACACGGACACATGCATGCATGTCGTCAAAAAATCCTCAACTTGGTTCATCATCTAAGCCCGAAATCATCTGTCAATCCGTGTCTGCTCTTGCCCCATGCACCTGCCCCAGGCGCCCCCGGCATATGCGAAGCTGACTGCAGGCGACGGCGTCAAGAATGCATCTGCTATTCTGCGCAACGCACTGCCCATCAACAACAAGCCCATACGCCAGGCACAGGTGCGCCGGCACCGCATGGGCCCTGACAGCAGCGGCAAACTCGTTCAACGCGTGCATCTGCAGCACGCAGGCCTTGCGCGACGATGCATTGTTTGCAGGTGCATGTGGCCCCCTCGCCTGACACTGGCCACCAGCCCCCCGGAACCTGAACCCCTGGACGACCCCTTGCCTCCACCACGGCTGCCAGAGGGCCCTGGAGGCGATTAGCGAGGAGCTGCGCGTGCCCGGCTCGAAGTCCCTGGGGCCGATTGCGCGCTCCCTGCGCACGGCCCAGAGCGCCATCAGCAGTGGCCGCGACAAGATCGTGGCCGATTTCGCGCCCTCCAAGAGGGCTGAGGGCCAGGCTGCTCTGGCTAAGCTGGAGGCCTCCCTGGTTGAGTTCAACGCCATCATCGACGCCAAGGACAAGCAGGTGGGTGCCTTGTGGTCCCCGCCCCCATCCCTAGAGGTGGTTGTGTGTTGAGTTGTGGTTGGTGCATGAAACGGATCGGGGTCGGCAATGGCAGGACGATCGCGGTATGTCAACGCACAGCTGTCATGCGGTAGCACTGCGCCTGAGTGCGCGCATGGCTTCTCAGTCGTATCTAAAGTTGCTGCTCCGGCTGACCTGCACTGCAACGCCACCCGTCCTCCTGCTCTGGCTGCTTCCCGACCATCTCAGCTGGTGCCCATCAAGCAGCGGGAGTGCCTGGAGTACGTGGGGCAGGTGGAGGAGGCGATGGTGTCGGGCCTCACCTTTGAGGTGCCCAAGGAGTACGCTGACAGGCCCCTGCTCAAGGTGGGCTGGCGGCTGGCTGTGTCAGGGGAGGGCAGTAGCCTCGCGTCCGTTCACGTTGGCATCAAGAGGGAACAGTGGCACGACTGCCACACATAACACACATTCACGACTCAATATGCCGGGATGGCATTCTTTGTGCTTCGCCGGCACTCCCTGAAGCAGTCTGATTGCCAAACCATTCCTTCTTGTCCTGCCCCCATCAATATGACCGACCACTCAGGGCCGCGCCACGCTGGAGATGAAGGTGGACATCCGTGAGACACCCGAGGGGCCCATTTCCCCAACCCTGACCATTGTTCTTGATGGCTACAACGCACCCGTGTCAGCCGGCCAGGTGTGGCGATGGTGGCGGCCTGTTGTTGAAACCGCTGAGCACCCGGGTCTCTGCAAAATGCAGGATCCAGCCATGCCCTCTTGCAATACGTTGAAGCGGATTGTGGAGCGGTCCTCAACTCCTCCATAATTATCACCAGCACGTGTTGCCCCACCAACCCCCACAGAACCAAGTCCGCTGAAACTGTTGCGTTCGCATCACCCACACTCCATCAATCCCTTTCCCACTGCTTCCCCCCTGCCCTCTCCTCCCCTTCCCTTACCCAACCTCACCCACCTTCCAGTTCCTGGACCTGGTGCAGCGCGGCTTTTACAATGGGATGGAGATCCAGCGCTCTGATGGCTTCGTGGTGCAGACTGGGGACCCTGATGGCCCTGCGACCGGGTTTGTGGACCCCGACACGGGCAAGCTGCGCATGTGAGTGGCTGGTACAAACTCGCGTGGCTGTGTGGAGCAGTGGGTGGCGCCTGCATGTCTGCAGGGTCTTGCAGCGCGTGACAGGGGCCCCTTGCTGAGCTGCCTGTGCAGCTGGCAGGCTTGCAACAGGGGTCACAGCCAAACCCTAGCCAAATGCGCCATCGTGCTCACCGCATCTTCCCCAGCGTGCAATGCTCCCTCTCCCTTAGTCCCCTCCGCCCATGTTGCTCTTGTGCCCCTGACTGCTGCAGTGTCCCCATGGAGATCCGTGTGGAGGGCGACAAGGAGCCGGTGTACGACCTCAACCTGGAGGACTTGGGTCGCTACAACGAGACACCAGTGCTGCCCTTCAACGCATACGGCACGCTGGCCTGGGCCCGCGCGGAGTTTGACAACAACAGTGCCAGCAGCCAGGTGAGGGGAATGGTCGGTCGTATCCAGCACGCTGCCAGAGCCGGTGCCAGGGTTAGGATTTACCTGTCATTTCCTTTGCTTGAGCTTTGCCCCGGCTCCCCTGCCAGATCCTCTCTGACGCGCGCCCCCCTCCCACGACGCCCCCCTTTTCTGTAGGTTTTCTTCCTGCTCAAGGAGAGTGAGCTGACCCCCACTGGCGCCAACCTGCTTGACGGCCGCTATGCGGTCTTCGGGTACGTGGTGCAGAACCAGGACACCCTGGGCCTCATGAAGGTGGGCGACAAGATCGAGTTCATCAAGGTGGTCAAGGGGGCCGAAAACCTCGTCAACGGTGCCAAGCCCAAGCAGCAGAAGGCGCCGCAGCTCGAGGCTGCCGTAGCAGAGGTGGCGGAGGCAGCGGTTGTTGACAGCTAGGCAGAGATGTGCAGTTCTTGAGGGTCAAAAGCAACATTTTTGAGATCTTCGGCGCTGCCTCTCGCTTTTTGCCATTTGGTGAGACATGCGCGCAAGGTCGAGCCAGCAGAGTGCAACAGCGCAGCATGCAGCTTCTGCACTATTCTGGTAATTTTGGGCTACGCGACGGAAGGAAGGCCATGCACTCTGCTTGTCAGAATGCAACAAGCTTGGTGGTCGGAACCTCCTTTGCCGCGGTTTTTGTGCTTCTCTCGTGCGCCCTGCAACAGTGCTTGCTGATTGTACACCCATGGAAGATACCACTGGGATCAGTGCAGCCACGCACTTTGTAAGCATTTGTCTGCTGCCCATAACCAGATTCAGAAACCAACAATTATACATTGCATTCAAAACATCTCACAGCCACTCCCGTGCAAGCTCATCCAGGCAGTGAGGCTAGCTGACGGTGCCGTCAGCTGGTGACCGTTTCCTGGGCTGCAGTCAAGCAAGCACTCTGAATCTTGAGGTGGGTGGGCTGCGCCGGGCAGCCCGCACTAAACTACAGGCACTTGCATTCCCTCACATGAATGCCGGTGATGTCAAGGTTCGGGCCCCCAGCAACAACTCTGCGAGCCGGGGTTCTCGTGTCTGTAACGCGCTGCCTCGGCTTCTACAAGTCTTCAATGGTGCTTGTCAGCCGCGTTTTTCCTGCCCAGTGGGTGCTGTGCGATGGGTGCAACTTGTGCTGTGCAGGGCGAATAGGGCAACACTAGCTTATCTTCCTCAGGCTAGTTGGGCAGGTTAGGGTATGTGGGTTCACCCCCTTTGAGGCGTGCTGGCGTCACAGGTCCACACTCACGTGATCAGGGGTCACCAGTGACATCGCCCAAGTGACGCCGTGCTGAGTCAAGGCGTGCACACCTCAGAACCTGGCACCTGCTGTTTTGCACTGGCACCAGCCGCACCAGCCAGCCCTTGATGAGGTGGATCCAGCCAGCGGCAGTAACCCCTCAGTCATGTGTGACTGGTGGTGACATCACCTTATGATGTATCATCACTCACCATGACGTCATGCCAAAAAAAGTGAGGGGCCTCTAACAGCTGCATGCTCAATGGTTGCTGCAGCCCTGGGCTGGAGTGCACAACCACCTTGAGCCGACCCAAACCACCCTGGGGGCGTGGGTGGAAGTGATTTTCAACGGGTTGGGGTTTGGGTTTAGGGTTTAGATATGAACCCTTGCACGACTGCCCAGCGGTTCATGGTGGTTGCAGACGTTCCCCCTCGTCCTAACACGCCTGCAGCAGTGTCTGGTGGGTGCATGGGACGTGCCAGATGTATGCCAACGAAGGTGGCTGGGGGGAGCATGGTGCAACCACCCCCACAGATTCAAATCCTGAGTCAACAATGGGCACAGTCTGCCCCAAACGACCCTCGGTGCAGTCCTGGAACCCAGCTTTTTTGGGCTGGAGTCGAAGAACTCATCCACCCCGACAACTCACGAGGTCCGGTTCGCCGGCGGTATGGGTGCGTGTACCCATGGAGTGAGGGGGTGCCTGCAGATTGGTGCACACAGTTTGGCACGCATGATCACTGGCCTCAACAGCCCATCCAGGGGTGTGTCTGCTTGTAAGAGGGCTAAATACTGTGCAGATACTAACCCCAAGAGCCACAGCCCAAAACATTGCAGGCTGGGCAGCAGTTCATTTTTTAGGGTTTAGGGTTTAGGTTTAGGGTTTAGGGTTTAATTTTGAACCCTCAAGGGTTTAGGGTTTAAGGGTTTAGGGTTTAGATTTGAACCCTTGTGTGACTGGGCAGCAAGTTCTGGCGGCTGCAGACATTCCACCTGGTCCTGAGACGCGTTGGGC